TTTAAAAAATATAAAATATTTATAATAAATGTATTTTTATGAATTAAAGTTTCTTCAATTTACATGGAGCACTAAAAATTTTTATCTTATTTAACATTATAGAATATCGCAGTTTTGTTCGTTTAATGAAGTATAATTTTTGTAGCTTATATATTACTTTATATGAATAAGTTGATAATATTGACAAAATTTTTTGTGAAAGTTTTTTATAAATTTTATAATTGCAAAGTAAAGCTAATTATTTGTTTTCAAATTACTCATTTTTGCATATACCAATTTTGTAAAATTTTTTCTTCTATTTTCTTCATAGTGTGCTTAATTTGCTATTGTATAATTATACTATTGTATTCTTTGTTCTTTTTATCGCAATAATATTATTAATAAAATATAAATATATTTTTTATCAATATGATTATTCATATTAATTAAAGCACATTTAATGCAAGATTCTCTATATTCAGCAACCTCGAAAGCATTTTTAATCATATTTTCTTAGACATACAATTACAGTAGAAGATAAGGAAAAGAGAAACTGAACTCATTAAAATCGAAATTAATCGAAATTATAATTATTAAAATTAAAGCTCCTATTTCATCTCAAGGAATAAGTGTGAATTTCGTAAAATATTTTATATATACATATAAATATATTTTTCGAGAATTAAGCAACTAAAAGGGAAAGTTAAGATGACAGTGTGATTATCGCGGTAAAAAAGAAAGTTGAAATTTGGGCGAGACATGCAAAAGAGAAAGTCCAAGCCTTTAGTCCAAATGTGAGATCGCGAAATGAAGCGCAAACATGAACGAGTACCCTTCCATCCACAGCGAGTAGAGCTTCAGGGATGCGCGTAGTCCGATTCTGATCCGGAACGAGATTCCACCAATCGGTCTCCATTTTATCTAGGTACACTCCGAACTTTTCCCTCGGAATTTTCGTATCTCATGACAAACAACCGACCGTGGAAACGGTTGCTGGGGTTCTTGACTCCCGTGACGGCGACCCTTCGGCTCATGCATGGATCGATAGGCAGCCCTATTCTTGAATTCTTGAATATAAAGTGACTCCATGACCTACCGCAAGAATTACGTGTACCCGTTGCTTAAAAAAAGGAGAGTGGTCATATCACAAAACGAATTCGCGAATAATTTCGCAGATACAACTCTAAAAACGGTTTACAGAAATAAAAAGAGGGTAAAGTTTTATTCTTTTAATTTTTTAGTGCTTATTTTCTTCAATGAAAAGATTTTATTTACTACAACCAACAGAATCTTGTTCCTTATTATGAATAATAATATAAAATCGCTACTTATAATTTAAAAAATTTTTCAAATTTTATAACGAATAAATGTAATCCACGAAGATATCAATAATTCCTCCTTTTCAAAAAAGCAAATTTTTCAATATTTTAAAAATATAAATAAGATCATTTATAATAAATATATTTTGCAAAAATGTTAAAATAGTTTTAGTAGGTTTTTACGACCTGAAAGATATGATTAATAAAAATGCTTTCGAAGTTGCTGAATAGAAATTTTTCTGAATAGACGATAGATAAATTTTCGCATTAAGGTAAATCAAAAGGAAAGACTTAATCGTGATGTGTTGAAAAGAATTGAAAAAAGATTCTAATTTCTCTCTCAAAATAATCTAAATTACAGTATGATTTCAATGAAGAACTTAACTTTAAAGGAATTTGAAAATAAGGTTGTGAAAGTCCAGGGCCGTCTCTGTGGGAGTTTAGCTATATCGAATTTCGAGATTGCGCAAGCGTAGAGGGCAATTACCGTGAAGAGTTTCGCGAAGTCATTCTGCAGTCTCACATTCTGCTGTCGAGTTGCAATCCGATTTGCCGTATGCAATTGTTGCACGCAGCAAAGTTTCAGATTTCGCTTTGCGAAACGTTCGCAAACTCTTAATCAGTATAGATTATCAGCTCATCAATTTGCGAATTGTAATTAACAGTTATAATTTTGTAATAAATCATACAAATATTCATTTCAATTTTTAAGCTGACCTGATCTTATCTTAAATTAGTTCAAAATTAGACTTCAATGACTAACAATGAACTCTTCTTCTATTTTTACAGAATAACGAGAAGATTTCGGACGATTGAACGTTTCATTGAATCAGATTCAAGCATTTGATGAAAGCGTTCTTTTTTCAGGATCTTCATGTTTCGGTAATTTTACTTCAGAGTCACATTCTATCTTACGTGCTATCTTACGGAAAGGTCTACAAGTGATACTATGATACTTTGCTGCTTAATATGGCAATATGTGTTGTCATTACAAATAACGAAAGTCGAAAGAACGTTCTAAATATAAACATCTTCTATTAAATTTGCTCATTATTTTCCTCTATAACATTTCGTCATCGTTTTTTTCGTCTAATTGCTTTTCGTGCTGAGTCAAGCATAAGTTATGCAGATAACGTCAACGTGTACTCGAGTCTATCATAAGTAGAGATTATCTTTCGCACGATCTTCGCGACTCTCGTGACTAGCAATTGTACAACGCATTTTGTTATATACACACAGCGTACCTTGTTCAAGTGCGGATCTCTAATGTGATCGAGGCCACGCAGAAGACCAGCGGAGACCGTGTCGCCGCTTCCTCGTTGGCCCAGCTGATCGCGTTCCAAGCTCGACATGCTTTTATTCTTGCTACAGTTAGGTTGTGTACTGCTCTGGGTCCTGCGAACGAATGCCACTTGTCTGAACAGTTTGCGCGCAAACGCATAGCAAGATGGTAGGACAGGGAACGCGATAGCGAAGTGACGTGACATGATGTGAGCACGTCGGCAAAATCACAAAGGGGTAGAATAATGAACACCGCCGTGCCACTAAAGGCATCCTCAATCCTTTATAAATCTTTCACTCATTATACATTGTTACATAAACAATGAAAACATTGATTACTTTTTAATTTATTTAATATTAAGAAATAATAATGCATGCCTTTTTATAATAAAATATGTCTTTTTATAAATCATAATTAATAAAATAAAGAAAACGAAATGACAAATATTAATACATTTTTATAAATATAATCAAAATTTTATCAATACCCAGTCAGAAATGATAATGAAATCGACGTTGATTCGATATATGTTTTATTTCAACTTATTGCACTGTGTGTATCAGTTCAGAAAGTGCAGCAATAAGAAATAGACCTAATATATATAAATATATAATTAAATATAATTATATTATATTCATGATATTATATACATACGAATTTAATTTATTTATTTTATTTATTTTTTTCGTTTTAGTAGTAGAAATATATTTTTATCAGTGCTATATATCTTATAATTATGTGATATAATACAAAATTACTTTTTATAAACACAATTAATAAATATAAATATTGAATTTTTTTAATGAAATTTCTGTAAAATTTTTGTCTATATTATGGATACGAAATCGCTTCACCTTAAAGGTGCAAATACAACACGTACCTGTGAACAGGCATGGTTTAGCGCATGCGTATTTATCGCACAATCATACGTTATATATACATTTACCAATAAATGTTTGATTCATCATGAAAAAAATATGCAAATATAATAATTTGCAGATGTCAATATTAGAAATTTAAAAAACCAATATAATTGATGGGAACAAAGTTCAACGGAGTTAACGTTTTCAAACTCTTTTTCGCCTTGATTAGATCAAAGTTTAAAGTATACATTCAATCATGACTGAGCATTATTTTTCCAAAGTTATCGAGGTAATACGATAACGATATACGCGTAATTATCATGAGTGTCACGAAAAGAAATGTAATTAAGAAATTATATTAATAAAAAATTAGAAAATGGATAGAAGAATTTTTTTCTTCACATGCAACAAAAATTAATTTAATTGTGGGATATTCATTACTATTGGACGTTATGATAGTCATAATAATTTCGTCAAACTGTTAAATATCGTCGTAATTTGTTCGACTTATGTAATAAGAAAAAATATCGCGGTGTCTTTCCTGAAGTAAAGTAAAAACGAAACTCAGCGAAGGTGACGCAAGGATTCTTGTGTTAAGTAAATTCAACAGAAATCGACGCAATTCGTCGACTTTACCTGCTCTTGGACAGGTGATGCTGATGGCAGATTTCAGGTTCAAGATCGGAGATAGTGTAACGCGAGCTGCTGGATTGACGGAGAAAATTCGTCAAGTGACAGCTGAGCGGTATGAGGAACTGCCTCGTAGACATGTTTTATATAGACTAAACTGAACTAAACGTTTCGTGACGCGATTGTCTTATCATTCATTAGCGGGGAAAGAAGCGCATCTCGCATCTTTATGCGTATGTAAATCGCGTATTTGATGGAATTTTACTCCTCTCCCCCCCCCCCCTCCACCCCGGAATTGGATCGCGAAAATAGAAGACTACGAATTTCTGTATTCTATAAATTGCTTATCTTTCCATTATTAGCGTGGGTAATAGATGATGTAATATTGATGAAATGAGATAATGATGCTAATTGTCGCGTTAGCCTTTACTCTTTCAACCGACAGCCTGATATGGTCACACGATTCATGCGATATTCTTTAGCCAATGTGAAATTCAGACATTATCTATGACACAATGTGTGCGAGTGTTAAATTAATGAAATATGTCAAATATTGTGATGGGGAAAAATTAAAAAATGGAATATTTTTTTTACCAATATATGGGGCAATATGTAATTATTAAGTTAATTCTTAAGTCACATAAATATAATTTCTGACACAAGTATAATTTTTCTGAAGATATCCTTGATGCAATCCTTTGGGTCATTTAGAAAGTAATTAGCAATAAGTTTGATCAACATATGAGATATTCAGAGAAAACAAGTATTATATTTGTTATCTATTTAGGAATAAGTATTATACAAGATGTTTTATTTTAAACATAATGGATCGAATATCTTGAGTATCTTGAAAGATACAGAAAAATGCTTCAGATGAAATAAATTATACAGTCTGAAGGGACGCAAATAATAGTGAAATTAATTTTCGAAAAAACCGAAAATTTTTCAAGATAGAGATTTTTGCCATTTAAAAAAAATATTTTATTTATATGCGAAATAATTACAGAAATCATATTATGTAACAAAATCATACAATTCCATTTTAAAAAATGACGGATCTCCATAAAAATTGATTTTTTCAAAAAATTAACTTTACCAATATTTGCGTCCCTTCAAATTGTATAACTTTCATCTGAAACATCTTTTATACTTTCCAATATATTCAGCCTATTATGTTCAAAATAAAATGCCCTGTATATATTTATGATTTAAGACTTAACTCAATAAAAATTAAAATGTTAGTTATATTCTGTGTACTGTTACAACATTTCGCACCAAAGTGCTTTTAGATGCTATCTCTAATAATTCACATATTTTAAAATTCTATTTATCATCAAAAGAGAATAAGTTTGTTGCAATCAAGATAAGTACAAAGACAAAGGCACTTACATCCAGTTTTGTTGCACATTATTGTCTTTGGAGTTTCCATTGCCCATCGTGACGAATCGACCGAGATATTTAAGCGATTAGCTGGGGATTTTGCTAGTTAAGATCTGTCTGAATCTCGTATCAATATCGCAAACAATTCATAACTCTTGCGTTCACATAGGCGTGGAAGATTACCGTATTTTGCTGTAGTTGTGTCAAAGCTACCCGATAAGAGGAAAGATTTTTTTTTTTTTAGAGAAAAAATACGCGCGAATCACCCAGCTTCTCGCACGCCGGTGAAATCGGCTGCTTCGATCACGAGCAGATCACGAGCGTGACTAGCGGATTGCCATCGGATCGTCAAGGAGAACGTGGTGTTCACTCGTCGTGTCGTAGCCTTCGTTCTAGTTATCTAGATTTTCTCTTTTTCAGAGAGAAAATCAGACGAAAAAAGCATATTTTCGGAAGGGGAACTGACACTTCCTCTTATCTGCTATTAATTGAATAACAATTCCTTTTTAACAACCACCGCGATTTAATTAAACTGACGTTGTCCACGGCGGTGTTTTTTTCTAATGCGTAATCGATTGGGATCTTTTCTTGCTGTATAACTGTGTACAACTCTTCTCTTTTTTATTCAACATAAAAATTAACTGCGTACTTACATGCGTGCGTAACTTTGTGTGTCGTGCGCAGAGAGGGATGGCTTCATGCGACTAAAAAAGATTTTTTTATAAAAAAAAAATCTTAATCGTGCACTATATCGATTGTGTATTTTACCTGAGAAGACAATTCCTCGCTCGAGTCTTCTAGAATGCGAGCAAATTTTTTCTGACAGCCATTCATCGATAGCGGCATGTCTCTCAGCTGTCTGTTCTGAACATCGTTATCTAATCGATAATTACGTCTTATGATAGTATAAGAAAACATCAAAGTATAAATCGTAGCAGAAAAAGAAAGCAATATTTTATATGTCATGTAGCATATAATGCGTCTTTTTAAATAGCACAACAAATGTTACAAAAGACATGAATAAAATATTTATCTAAAAATATTTAAATAGACATTGTGTTAAATTGTTTCAATAGACTTTTACGCATGTTGTAAATTATTTTGCAATTTGAAAAACTCAAAAAAGATACATCGGATTCCTCGGATGTTATAAGTTTTCATCATCTGCTATCAGAATCAATTTATTTAATATTAAATACATATAAATAATAATTGTTATAAATTCTTATATTGTGAAAGAAATATCTTCATTGCGAGAATTTTCTCCCGTTACTCATCTAATTATTTCTTAATGGTGAAGTGAACGCATGGTGAAAGTCACATCAGTGTATTAAAATCATAAAAATGATAGATTCTGAAGAAGAAGAGAGAGCGAAACAGTCGCATTTATGATTGAATAGTTCCTGTTTTTGCCTACAAATTTAATTCTATAATTCAATTTTATAATTTGATTTTGCTTGAATTTAAAAAAATATAACAGAAGTCAATATTATAATCTTACAAGCGCAAATATTCATGCGATATAACACAATATTGTATTTATTTATGTATATATATATATATATATATCTTTAACATCTTTAAATTATTTATTTTGAAAGGAAAAATATAACAATGCAACTATAAAGAATAAATGCAGCGTATATTATAGCTAACAGAAAAAAACCTGAGAGAGGCCATGCCGATCTTTTTCTTGTATCGTCAAAATTGTCTGTACACTGTCGCCAATATATCCATTTTCAGTTTGGAAACTACGTAACTACATACATTTTCTGTCACTGTCGATAAAATCGTATCGTCGAAAGTAGATGTAGTTCGTATCTGTACTAAATTCTCAGGACAGAAGCGTGCCGACTATCCATATAGGAGGGATAGTTTAATAGATCCTTGAACGAAAAAATTTTAATTTCTCATCTTCTGTATATGTAAATAAAAGTTGCTGAATTTTAATAAACGAAATTGAAAATTCAAACAAGTTAATTCAGTGTGTGAATTTTGTCTTACAATATCTTATAAAATTATGAAGTAATGTTTCCTTACACGAATTTTTAACCCGTTTTTATCAAACATAATTAGTATGTATTATTAGTATATCAAAGTTTCTATAATTACTAGCAATTATAGAGATTTTTAATAAATTTTAACTTTTCTAAATTATAAATTTAAGTAAATTATTAATTTAAGTTATAATTTAACAAAAATGAACTATAAAGGCTCTCCACTACTCCCGCCAATTTTATCGGTCTCTTTTCGTTCTTAAGTCCTCTTTTCTTTAAAAGTATACTTATCCATAAAATAAATTAATAAATTTAGCAACCCGTTTTTGCAGATAAGTATATCTTTAATTTATTTTTTATTTTTATGTATATAATTATTTTATTGTATTTCGCGAAATTGTAATAACTTTTTAAATATTATTCTTTATTGTATTATCCTTTATACAATTCGATATTACAATCGATATTATAATAATTATTTACAATACAATATATAATTATCAATACTTTTGTACGGTGCGCGAAATACGAATGCGTCGCGAAGGCCATCATATCAATAGAATTGACTAAATTGTAATATGAATAATTAATAATAATAACAATAATAATAATAATTCCATTAATATATACGAATAAAGGCCGCGTTTATTCTCTATTCGCGTTTATTCTAAATTAAAAATATAAACATTGGATTAAAAATAAATCTAAATTTAAAAAATCTTTAAGTCATAAAAAATTTTTATTTCAAAAGTCTCGAATATCATGAAACTGGATTAAATTTTTCTAACATAAGTATACAGAACAAAACTTTAAAAATAAAAACTTTGAAAATTACTAAATCGATTACCATCCGATAAAATTCAAGACTCATGTACGTATTTTTAAAGATTCGAACGATTCGTTTCTGAATTTCATCTCAAAACATGCGGAGATGACAAATTCAGATGAATGATATAAGATCCGAAAGGGATAATTTTCCCTCACAATAATCAATAAATATATCTCTATCATATTTTGTTTATTATTAAAATCACTTTTTGAATGATTTATTATTTCAAAATTAAGTATTATAAGTCACGCATAACTCTGAACACAATTTTAAAATAGTTACAAGATAAAATTCTTACACTTTTTGTTAAATGTATATTGGATCTTGCATCATATTATTATTTTAGCTGATATAAAATCCAGTTACTACATACGCCATGGATAAGTTATAAAAGATTAGGCTAAAGTAAATGCATTGAGATAAATAATATTAATAAACGAAAAATATCTTTTATAGGAAAGCAAGATTAATAAATTATATGCTTTACATTAAAAATTTTGTTACCATTTCATTAGTAAGATGTGTACAAATAAGTATGAAACAAAACAGAAGGAATTTATCTTAAAAAACATTTCATATTATATGTGTATACTTATATATTATAGGTATTGCTTTTTTGCATCAGCTTGCATAAAATTTAATCCTGAATGAATGTTTAGGAATAGGATAGATAGGAAAAATAATAAAACAATATTTATTAAACCGTAATAAACACTTTTCTATATAATGGTATATAATCCATAGACAACAATTTCATACACTCGTAATTATTAGTTTATATAATCATTATCTTTTTTAATTTATTTCATATATTTCATATATTTCATGTATTTCAAAGATACGAATATTTTATTCTTTCTCGTTTTAACTTTTAAGATGTATTATTTTAATATAAAAAGCGACCATCGAAAGAACCTATTATTTATTATATATTTTTGTGATTAAATTACTTAATAACAAAGCGTCCATATTAACACATATGAATTTGCAATTAGTACACAAAATTTGAGCTAAATTCAATAATAATTAGAAATAATTCCAAGTTCTGGTAAAAATTTTTTCATGCAGAAATATGTATAAATATGTACAAAACATAATAAATATTCATAAATATGTATAATCATATATGAAATACGTCCATACATATTCATACATATCTTCTGTAAAATTACCTTTAAGTATGATGAAAATAAGAAGTAAAACACTGAAAATTGTGAAAACATTAAATATAATTGAAAGGGTAATTTTTACTATTATTATTTCTATTATTTCTATCATTACTATTATTATTTCTAGCACACTAAAAAATAATTTTCAAAAGAGGCATGTATGAACATGTATATGGACATTTATGTATATTTATACATATTTACATATATTCATGCGTGAAAAACTTTTTACTGAGTGGATGTAACGTGACATTATAAATTTCACAGCATATACAATAAATTCCATATAATAAAGAGATATCCAGGATTAAATTTATCCCAATCTTTTATTTATGTTACTTATCCATTTTAAGGCAACGAATGTATGGAATACATACAGCTATCTGTATATTTTTAATAAAAATTGATGCATATGCATCTATAGATATAATAATTAATAAAGTTACCACACATCCATTACCTCAATAAAAAAATTAATTCATCACTCACCATCCCGATGCGCAACAGTGGAGTTATCTGCAACGTCGATAATTCTGTAACAAAAAAAATATAAAATTAAAACAGAGTAGAAAAAAACCAATCAATATTTTTAAAAATATTTACTAAAGTTCTCTTGTAAATAATTACATAATTTTCTAAATATATAATTTTTACAAAAATATAATTTTTTAATTCACCCTTCAGTTAGATATATATAAAAATAATTATACATTTTCTTAAAAAAGACCTTAAAAATATATATTTACAAAATTTTAAAATAATTTAAAGTAATCCTCTTTTTTAGTTGTCATTTTTAAATCCTAGCAAAATAAAACGACTAAAGAATAAATAGAAGAAAAGTACTGATTTTATATGAGCAAAAAATGAGATATTTACTGCAAGGTAAATGCTCCGCCGGTGCCCGATGTCTCTCCCTTCTCCTCCTCTCAGAATTGGATTGACATCCACTCCCGTAAAACACTCGCGAATAGTGCACTATAATCGCGCGCGGACCATAACTTGAGTCCGATAACTTTAACGGCACTCCCGAAGCAAACGCGCGGCACGACGAACCGGTTGCGGTTCGTTCACTTGTAATTAAATCGGCGGACGAGGTACGTTGGCTTCTCCATTATTGAATTTTCACACGAAGAGAACGATTTTACTCAAGTATCTAAAAATTTATCTAGAAATTCAAATCCGAAAATTTTTAGATACTTGAGAAAAACCGTTCTTTTCGTGTAAATATCTTCTGGGTACTGAGCCCTCCCACCACGTCAAGGTACCCGTGAGAGGGAAGATAATCTGAAAAATGTAATATACACACACATGTATATATATATATATATATATATATATATATATATATATATACATATCACTATCTATTACTATGCAATTATTATGCAATCGGTTAACTTTTAGGAACGAATATCAAATACACTTCTGCAATTCGTTAGCATTGCGAAATAAATTTAGAGCAGATAAAAGAGTTGAATCTTTTATTTATGATGTCTGTAAGATACTATATGATTAGGTGATCAATGAAATAGGCTAGAGATTAATAAAAAAGAGAAATTTATTATTATTAATTTATTATTATTGATAAATAGGGCCACAGTCACGTTTAATTTTTAAACGGATAGTATAAAAGGTGCATAAAAAGGTGCACAAAATTAATTAAATTATTAAACTGTGAAATATTAACTGTGAAAGCAAAAATTGCATTTATTTGCATAAGAGTATTCATATTAAGTACGTTGCTTTTTTATCTCGTGTAATATATCATTCGTAGCCAGACAAGTAGCCATATCGCGTGTCGCTCTTCTTTACACTTTTTTTTGAAACATATAATAGTCGCAAAAAATGGTAGATATAATATGTATACGAAATGTTGTATTTTATGAATATTCACATAATATTATTCCTAGTATCAAGTATGATTAATTATTCATAAAGTACAATGTTTCATATTATATTTGGTTTCATATTATATTGTTCGCGATAAGATTTCAAAATCAAGTAATGTAAAAAGAGCCGCGCGCGACTCGATTACCAGTTTGTACGATTCTCCTTAAGAGAATAACTGCGTGGTAACTACGCGTAAACATGACGCGCCGTTCCCACCCAAAGATCTAACTGTCGAAATATTAACGCATATTGCGAAGTAAAATAATGTATTCTTAAATTTTTAATGTTCTCCGATTAATGAAACAATTTCTTATATTAATCTAGTCTTAGTGGCGCGAATCGCTTAATGTGATATCATAATTATATTGTGATACACAGAGGAATATATTTAATGTTCATTTTATAATCTTAAATGTTTCGTATCAATATTACAATGCGCTGATAAAAGACAAAAAGTAAAAAAAGATGTTTACTAGAGTGGTTTCTCTTACATAATTGCTCACGTGAAGTGCTTTTGATATTCCAACATTATATTTCAATTTTTATTGCTTTTTTTGTGATTTACAATTAAATAGAGATTAATAATTATGATTAATAATAATCATACATTCTTTAAATGAAGATAAATGTAAAATTTATTTTAAATTATGAAACAATTTCGAATACTAAATAGCATGCACGTATATTTAGAGGTACATATGTAATTTAAATATAATTTGTCTGTTACTTTTCTCGTATTAAGAATGCGATTTAAAGTGATAAAAAGCCACAATCTGAAATATCTAACAATAAGAATGTCATTTTCATATTATACATGTGAGAACACATGAAATATCTAAAATATTCATGAGCTGCGTAATAATCTAAGAAATAAAGCAAAAGCCGTTTCGTTGCAACGAAATCTATTAACCCTTAGTACACTCCTTAGTTTTAGGCATTCTTACGTTATTCGCGTTCGTAAATATCTAATTTTTATTAATTAATGCGACACGCGGAGCTATTCGTAAAATATATCCGTATCTTCCTTCGAGGTCACCGAGCGAATGCCGAAGTGATGACATAGTCAACCACCGCGAAGCGCGGCACGTCCCCCACCTGTTCACCCCGTGCACGCTCCCCTCGCTGTTCGCCGGACGCTCTAACGCCGTTAGAATACTCAATTATTGCGCATAAAAAATATTCACGGTTTATTCAATTATTCGTATTTTACGATTTATGATTTTGATGAACGGGTATCCTCACACATATCGCGCTTTACTCTTGGCATCTCTAGCACTTGTTAAATCCTATATTGTAAACGTAATAATCGTAATCAGTAATCTGCATGTATGGAATATTTTTGATATTCTCAATTTTTATTATTCTTTTAAATGATTCACATTTAAATAAAGGTTGATAATATTTTATATATTCTTATTTTTATAAAGATGCACGCAAAATTTTTAAATATTATTTATAATTTGAAACAATTTGCACTAAATACAGCTTTGACTAAAAATATTAAATGTCTTGTTAATTATTATTAAATTTTTTAGCTAAAAACTTAATTTATGACACTATTGCTGCAAATTAATCTGTGTTTCAAAAATTCCATGATCGGCATTATATTTAAGTTTGAAGAATTTTTGAAACACAGAATTTTTTGCAATAGTAGTTTCATAAATTTTATTCAGTGTGAATCATTTAAAAGAATAATAAAAATTGAGAATATCAAAAATATTCCATACATGCAGATTACTGATTACGATTATTACGTTTACAATATAGGATTTAACAAGTGCTAGAGATGCCAAGAGTAAAGCGCGATATGTGTGAGGATACCCGTTCATCAAAATCATAAATCGTAAAATACGAATAATTGAATAAACCGTGAATATTTTTTATGCGCAATAATTGAGTATTCTAACGGCGTTAGAGCGTCCGGCGAACAGCGAGGGGAGCGTGCACGGGGTGAACAGGTGGGGGACGTGCCGCGCTTCGCGGTGGTTGACTATGTCATCACTTCGGCATTCGCTCGGTGACCTCGAAGGAAGATACGGATATATTTTACGAATAGCTCCGCGTGTCGCATTAATTAATAAAAATTAGATATTTACGAACGCGAATAACGTAAGAATGCCTAAAACTAAGGAGTGTACTAAGGGTTAATAGATTTCGTTGCAACGAAACGGCTTTTGCTTTATTTCTTAGATTATTACGCAGCTCATGAATATTTTAGATATTTCATGTGTTCTCACATGTATAATATGAAAATGACATTCTTATTGTTAGATATTTCAGATTGTGGCTTTTTATCACTTTAAATCGCATTCTTAATACGAGAAAAGTAACAGACAAATTATATTTAAATTACATATGTACCTCTAAATATACGTGCATGCTATTTAGTATTCGAAATTGTTTCATAATTTAAAATAAATTTTACATTTATCTTCATTTAAAGAATGTATGATTATTATTAATCATAATTATTAATCTCTATTTAATTGTAAATCACAAAAAAAGCAATAAAAATTGAAATATAATGTTGGAATATCAAAAGCACTTCACGTGAGCAATTATGTAAGAGAAACCACTCTAGTAAACATCTTTTTTTACTTTTTGTCTTTTATCAGCGCATTGTAATATTGATACGAAACATTTAAGATTATAAAATGAACATTAAATATATTCCTCTGTGTATCACAATATAATTATGATATCACATTAAGCGCCACTAAGACTAGATTAATATAAGAAATTGTTTCATTAATCGGAGAACATTAAAAATTTAAGAATACATTATTTTACTTCGCAATATGCGTTAATATTTCGACAGTTAGATCTTTGGGTGGGAACGGCGCGTCATGTTTACGCGTAGTTACCACGCAGTTATTCTCTTAAGGAGAATCGTACAAATTAGTAATCGAGTCGCGCGCGGCTCTTTTTACATTACTTGATTTTGAAATCTTATCGCGAACAATATAATATGAAACCAAATATAATATGAAACATTGTACTTTATGAATAATTAATCATACTTGATACTAGGAATAATATTATGTGAATATTCATAAAATACAACATTTCGTATACATATTATATCTACCATTTTTTGCGACTATTATATGTTTCAAAAAAAAGTGTAAAGAAGAGCGACACGCGATATGGCTACTTGTCTGGCTACGAATGATATATTACACGAGATAAAAAAGCAACGTACTTAATATGAATACTCTTATGCAAATAAATGCAATTTTTGCTTTCACAGTTAATATTTCACAGTTTAATAATTTAATTAATTTTGTGCACCTTTTTATGCACCTTTTATACTATCCGTTTAAAAATTAAACGTGACTGTGGCCCTATTTATCAATAATAATAAATTAATAATAATAAATTTCTCTTTTTTATTAATCTCTAGCCTATTTCATTGATCACCTAATCATATAGTATCTTACAGACATCATAAATAAAAGATTCAACTCTTTTATCTGCTCTAAATTTATTTCGCAATGCTAACGAATTGCAGAAGTGTATTTGATATTCGTTCCTAAAAGTTAACCGATTGCATAATAATTGCATAGTAATAGATAGTGATATGTATATATATATATATATATATATATATATATATATATATATACATGTGTGTGTATATTACATTTTTCAGATTATCTTCCCTCTCACGGGTACCTTGACGTGGTGGGAGGGCTCAGTACCCAGAAGATATTTACACGAAAAGAACGGTTTTTCTCAAGTATCTAAAAATTTTCGGATTTGAATTTCTAGATAAATTTTTAGATACTTGAGTAAAATCGTTCTCTTCGTGTGAAAATTCAATAATGGAGAAGCCAACGTACCTCGTCCGCCGATTTAATTACAAGTGAACGAACCGCAACCGGTTCGTCGTGCCGCGCGTTTGCTTCGGGAGTGCCGTTAAAGTTATCGGACTCAAGTTATGGTCCGCGCGCGATTATAGTGCACTATTCGCGAGTGTTTTACGGGAGTGGATGTCAATCCAATTCTGAGAGGAGGAGAAGGTCTGGGAGAGACATCGGGCACCGGCGGAGCATTTACCTTGCGGTAAATATCTCATTTTTTGCTCATATAAAATCAGTACTTTTCTTCTATTTATTCTTTAGTCGTTTTATTTTGCTAGGATTTAAAAATGACAACTAAAAAAGAGGATTACTTTAAATTATTTTAAAATTTTGTAAATATATATTTTTAAGGTCTTTTTTAAGA